CAGGCGCGCGGCAGACCCCAAATGAGCACGGCCGACCACAGGAGCACGGCAGACCCCAAATGAGTACGGCAGACCCCAAAAGAGCACCGTAGACGCCTCAGGAGCACGGCTGACCACACAGGAGCACGGCAGACCACACAGGAGCGCGGCAAACCACAAAGGAGCAAGGCAGACCCCAAATGAGCACGGCAGTCCACACGTTCGCACGGAGACCGCACAGGAGCACGGCAGACCCACATGAGCACGGCAGACCAAGAAGGAGCACGGCAGACCACACAGGAGCACGGCAGACCACACAGGAGCACGGCAGACCACACACACGGCAGACCCCACGGGAGCACGGCAGACCACACAGGAGCACGGCAAACCACACAAGAGCACGGCAGACCATACAGGAGCACGCCAGACCACACAGGAGCACGGCAGACCACACGTTCGCACGGCAAACTCCACAGGAGCACGGCAGACCCCAAAGGAGCACGGCAGTGGTACGTGGCACTGCTGTGGTATGCCGTACTAAAAACGTGGAATATCTCATAAGCCCAGGGGACAAAAGGACGCTTCCCGTTCTTGTCCGGTCAGGTTAAGCACCCCCAAAGGCTCCCATTTTTCGTTGGCGGATTTCTGTTTTTTTTTGCCGTTTCGCTCGGGACATCCTCAAAAAATCGGCTCCGGAAGGGACTCCGAACCGACATCCTCTTGGAGTCGCCCCCGGAGGGCTCCAAGACGGCCCACGGAGGGCCCCAAGAGACCCCAAACGGCCCCCAGGGGGCCCCCAAGACGGCCCACGGAGAGCCCCAAGACGGCCCACGGAGACCCCAAGACGGCCCAGGCTGCCCTCAAGACGGCCTCCGACCTGCTGGGACCGTCCTGCCTCCCCTGGTGACGGGAAGCGCCTCCGGCGTGTACCGTTGGTTCTGGAGAATTAAGCACCCCCAAAGGCTCCCATTTTTCGTTGGCGGATGACGGGAAGCGCCTCCGGCGTGCACCGTTGGTTCTGGGGCTTAATTTTCTCTAACTAAGGGATACGGGCTCCATCCCGAAACTCGTTGGCGGATGACGGGAAATTGGCCGTTTCGCTCGGGACATCCTCAAAAAATCGGCTCCGGAGGGGACTCCGAAACAGCATTATCTTGGAATCGCTCGCGGAGGGCCTCCAAACGGCCCAAGAGAGACCCCGAAGGCCCCCCAGAGGACCCCCCAAGCGCCCCAAGAGACCCCCAAGAGCCCCCAGGACGGCCCCCAAGACGACCCACGGTGCCGCCAGGACGGCCCAGGATGTCCTCAGGACGGCCTCGAGACGGCCTCCAGACGAACTCGAGGATGACGGGAAGCGCCTCCGGCGTGCACCGTTGGTTCTGGGGCTTACTTTTCTCTAACTAAGGGGTACGGGCCCGCACTTCGGAACTCGCTGGCGGCGGCCTGCGGCAGCAGAGGGACGCGGGCACCCCGAGCCAGCCGGCACGGGTCCTCCTGCTCGTCGTCGTCGTCGTCGTCGTCGTCGTCGTCGTCGTCGTCGTCGTCGTCGTCGTCGTCGTCGTCGTCGTCAATAACGATCTCGAAAATTACGACAAAAAACGATGACAGAAAACGACCACAAACATAACACAAAAACCAACCGAACACGGAATCCAACAACAAAGAAACAATCAGAAAAACGACCGCAATCATAAAATGATAACGACGGCGACAGCGAGAACGGCAACAGCGGACGATTATAATGAAAACGACGACCACGACAAAGGAAAGGCACGCGACGACGACGACGGACAAACAAAAGACAAGACAGGCTGGAACAGAAAAAGTAGGCTGGGCGACAACGGGTGGGGGCCCGCGTGGCCGAGAGAAAAGCACGGTGTCGACACCATGATGTGGCCAGGGCAGCAGACTACCTCGACAGACCAGCGCGGCAGGCCATCATTTAGTCTGTTCTGTTGCGTTTATGGGTTTCTCTGACGTTCTCGCCAATACGGTCTCTGACGCACGTGGTGGTTAAAAAACGGCGCTTCCCGTTCTTGTCCGGTCAGGTTTGGACATTGGTGTCACACGCTTTTCCGTCGCGGCGCTGGCGGTTGCTCGGCGCGGGTGGCCTAAACGTGTTGCGCTCTGGCAAATTGGCACCGAGGGGTCGGGAGAAGAGGAGAGCGGCCGCGGAGGGGGGACGGCCCAAGAGGCCCCAATATTGCCCCAAGAGGCCCCAGGAGGCCCCAAGAGGCCCCCCAAAAAAACCCAAACGGCCCCCAAGAGGCCCAGAAGAGGCCCCAAGAGGCTCCCAAACGGCTCCCACGAGGCTTGTCTTCTTTAGGGGGCCTTGAAGCAACATCGCCCGTCTGTGGGTTCTCTTGGGCCATCTTAGGGCGATCTTGGGCCGTCTTGGGGCTCTCTCGGGCAACGGCGGCCCACGTGCGACGACAACGACGACGACGGCGAGTGACGAACGATGACGCACGACTGCGACGACGACGACGGCGATGACGCCGACGGACGACGACGACGACGACGACGACGACGAGCTCCAAAACGGCGCCCAGCTCCAACGGTGCGCCCGATGGTTGTCCCGATGATTGTCCCGAGGTTTGTCCTGATGGTTGTCCCGATGACTGTCCCGATGGTTGTCCCGATGGTTGTTCCGATGGTTGTCCCGATGGTTGCCCCCATGGTTGTTCCGATGGCTGTCCCGATGGTTGTCCCCATGGTTGTCCCCATAGTTGTCCCGATGGTTTTTTCGATGGTCGCCCCGATGATTTTCCCGATTGTTGTCCCGATGGGCCGTCTTGGGGCGATCTGGGGCCGTCTTGGGGCTCTCCCGGGCAACGGTAGCCCACGTGCGACAACGACGACGAGCGACGAACGACGAAACAAAACGGCGAACGACAACAACGACAACGACGGCGACGACGACGACGACCACGACGACGAGAACGACGACGACAACGACAACGCAACGCCGAGGACGACGAAGGACGCCATTTCGGCGACAACAACGACAACGCCCGTCTTGGAGTTCTGTTGCGGTTCTCTACGGGACGTTCCCAGATATATTTCGTCGTGGACGAAACGGCGCTTCCCGTTCTTGTCCGATCAGGTTTGGACATCTGGTGTCACACGCTTTTCCGTCGCGGCGCTGGCGGTTGCTCGCCGCGGGTGGCCTAAACGTGTTGCGCTCTGTCAAATCGGCACCGAGGGTGCGGGAGAAGAGGAGAGCGGCCGCGGAGGGGGGACCGAAACAGGGCGAGGCCTTCGGGACGTCAAGAGTTTGACGCCAGTGCTGCTGCCCAGGCTCTGGGCAGGAGTCATGGCAAAACGGCGGCCCACGCGGACCTGCCAGGGTGCATGGGAGGGGATCGAACGGTTTTCGAGGACGCCGGGCGCCCAACGGGCGCAAAATGCACGGAGCGGAGCGAATACATACCCCACGCCCGCATACAGTCACGTCCACAGGCGAGCAAGATTTCTCGGCACCCGCGACATGTTTTCGGGATTGGCTTGGGCAGTCCGTCTTCTGTGCAGCACTCGCAAACCACCTCCGATGTCGGACAGTGGCTTGATGTAAGAGGAGGGATGGCGTCAAACCAGAGCAGAGACGGCAGGATCAAGTGGGGGAATGGTCACATGATCGCGGCATGTTAGGGTCGGTGTCAGATTTGTTCACTGATGTGTTCGTATTCCCCACAACAAACCATATTGAAGTACTCACACGTTGTGTAGATAACCGCGTTGCGTTGGTTTCTGAGCTGGGCGTCTTTGCGCGAGCCCGTCTCGCTCTAGTCCAAATGAACTGAGCTTGCAAAAGCAGTTTCCACATGATTCGTTCGCCTCCGTTTTCCACACGCTTGCACCACGGAGTAATTGCATGCAAAAAGATCCAGAGCAAGTTCACCAACACAACGCAGTCGTTGAAATCATAGGTAGTCGCAAACACTGACCCGAGCGGAGGACAACCGCACAGCAGAAATGTGTGTGTGTGAAAACAATGGGTGAGGCTCCAGTGACCTGGGGGAGGACATTGAAACATGTAGCAGTAAGAGAGGCAGGAAGAGGTCAAGGAGGACATTGTCAAGGTACGGTCGGCTTCGTGCGCGATACATTGTTAGTTCAGAACGTGAGCACGCCATGGCAACCGTAACCAACCAGCGAACCAGCGGCTGAGAGTGGTGAGAAACATGTGCGAATGGTGACGACAATTCCGCAACATGGAAACGCATGCGTACCATGTTACACCAGAGAAATCCAATCAGTGGATATTTCGAAAACTAGTAATATGGATATTGATATCATTTGTGATACCGATAGTGAGATCGATAGTGGAATCGATAGTGAGGACGATTGTAAGGTCGATCGTGAGACCGAGAGTGAAGTCGATTCAATAAGATCGATAGTGAGATAGATCGCGAGACCGCTCGTGCGATCTATAGTGAGATGGCTTGAAAGATCCATAGTGAGATCGATGGTGAGATTGATGGTGAGATCGGTAGAGACGTGGGTAATGAGATCGATGTTGAGACCTCTCGATAAGAAGATCGACCAGGAACCCGGGAACCCGGGAACCCCGCCGCCCACCGAATCGTCCCGGAACCAGGAACCCGGGAACCTGGCCGCCCACCGAAATCGGCCCGGAATTTTCGCCAAACCCTTCAATCACCGGTAGGACCCCTTCAGTGCAAGCACTGATAGGAGAATATGGCTCGAGCAGGGAACAACATCGAGGCACAGCTGCGCGAATTACGCTAAAGGTGAACTTCCTGGGCTCAGCAGGCAGGTGCCCACCGAGCCCTTCGAATCGGACAATGTAGCATTGAAGTTGTGTAGGAATTCTTGCGATGGGGCGAAGTCGAGCTAGCATATTTCATGTCCGTGTACCTGTACGCATCGGCACATCATCAGCATCATCATTATCATCATCGTCGTCATCGTCGTCATCATCACCATCCCGTCGCATGTCCTGCTTCACAGAACTAATCTTCTGTTCGTGGAGTCATATCATCGCCTGTCTAGATCAGGCCGTTCGACTGGTTCGAGTGGCAGCCGCTGCTGCGGGAGCCACCTCGGTACTTTCTCTATTGTTTGATGCGCGTATGTGTTGAGGACAAGAGTAAAGGGGGGCATTGCAGCTGCAGCGAGGCAACAATCCATGAAGAGAGTGCATCGGAACAGTAACTGCAGCAGAGTGGTCTGGGGAGGGCTCGGGAAAGAATGCGCAGAGTGCTAGTGCAGGCAGAGGAATGCATGGCCGCTACAAGTACGCATCGCTCAGGTGGTCGAAGCGGACTTGCTCATCTTGCGGCACGTATTTTGGGATTGACGGGGTGGTGTGGGCCAATGGTGTAGCAGAGCGGTTGGGTAGTTACAGCCAGGTCGTGGGGATTGGTATCAACGTCGAGCTGTAGAGTCACTGTCCTCTATCACGCTCGCATTCGCATGCGCATTAGCAGCATTGCACTATGAGCCTGATCATTTGAAGCGTACTCTGCTCAGACGGTGCCAATACATGGTGTGATAGTCTGGTAGAAGAGGTTCGCACTCACACGTGTTTTGAAACCGCCTGCGGCGAGCCACCGTCGCCTTCTGCCTGACTGGCAACGCCGATGTGGTCAATCGTTGTACCAGAGCTTGGCCGCGCTATTGGACTATACGGTCCCTCAGCCTTTGTGGAATTCCTTGGGAGAACACTTGACGGCGGAAGAGGGGAATGGGCAGGAAAGAGAAAGAGAGGGGATGAATAGGAGGAGGAGGAGGAGGAGGAGGAGGAGGAGGAGGAGGAGGACTATGAGGAAGCGGACGAGGATGTGGCGTGTTGGGGGCTTCTTGCGGGCCTCCTGGGGGGTTCGTGGTCTTGGTGGCCTCTAGGTGGCTTCTTGGAGCCATCTTGGGCCGTCTTGGGTCGTCGGAAGGCCGACGCAAGCAAATGTCACAATCATTTAACACCTGGGCAACACCAATGATGTTGGCATCTTCGGGCCTTCATGTAGGACCTCTTGGGTCGTCTGGGGGTCCTCTTGGTGGCCTCTTGGGCAGTCTTGGGTCAAGATTTGGGCCATGGGGCAGTCTTGGGTGCATCGTGGGCCGTCTTGGAGTCAAACGCTGGGCCGAAACCTGACCAAGCTGTTGGATAATGTGCTCCCCCATAGCCGTTGTGTAACCCCTTGGGGGAACACCTGGGAGAGACAGAGCAAGGAGGAGGAGAAGGAGAGGGATGAGACGTAGGACGAGGAAGGGGAGGAGGCCGTGGAGGAGGAAGACGAAGAAGAGGAGGCCTCTTGAGGCCTTCTTGGGGCCTCCTGTGGGGCTTCCTTGGCGTCTTTCGGTGGCCTCTGAGGGCCCTATTGGGAGCCTCCTGATACCTTTGGGAGGCCGTTTGAGGCGTCTTCGGTGCATATTCTTTGGGGCTTCTGGTGGCCTCTCAGGGACCTCTGGGCCTTCGGAGGCCGTCTTGAGGCCCTCTATGGGCAGTCACGGGTTCCTCTTTGGGCGCTTTAGGGCCGTCTTGGAGGTCTATTGGGCCGTTTGGAGGCCATCTTAGGGGCCTCTGGTGTCGACAGCACGCTTGGGCTGTCTTGCGGGCCTCTTCGGGGCCTCTTGGACCATCTTGGGGCGAACTTGGGGGCCTATGGGGGGCGTCGCAGAGCGTCGGAAGCCCGAGGTGGCGAGAACGCGAACGTCATTGACGCACACGAGGAACATCAATTAGTTTGGCCTCCTGGAGGTCCTCTTGGAGCCCTCTTGGGGCATCTTGGGGGCTTCGTGGGTCGTCTGGAGGCCATCGTGGGTTGTCTTGGGGTCATATGGGCCGTCTCAAGGGGGTCTTGGAACAGTCTTGGGCCCATGTTAGCTGTCTTGTAGGCCATCTTGGCCGTCATGGAGCCCATCTGAGGGGTCATGTTGGGCCATCTTGGCCGTCTTGGAGGCGAGTTTCCCGTTTTCTTTCCGCCTTGCGCGTCCTTCTGGGTGCCCAACGCGATCGGTCGAGGCACCATTCGGAACTTTTGAAACGGACAAAACGCTACCTAAATTTCGGCACACCGTGCACCCTTCTGGCGCGCCTCATGGGGCGGCGGACGGATCGAAGACGCGCAACAGCCGCACCCTGCCTGTCGGAAGCGCCTATGTGGCCGAACGTTGCGGCCAGAGCTCGGCCAAGCTATCGGACTGTGTGTTTCCCCAGCCGTTGTGGAAACCCTTCGGGGAACGCGCGGGGGAGAACGAAGAAGAGGAGCAGAGGGAGGAAACAGGAGGAGGAGGAGGAGGCCCTTTGGAGCCTGCTGGGGTACTCTTTGGGCCTCCCGTGAGGTTCTTGGGGCCTCTTGGGGGGCTACCTGGGCCTCTTGGGGGCCTTCGTATGCTCCTTGGGAGGCCAATTGGCAGTCGGAGGGCGTTCTTTGCCCGTCTGGCGCGGTCGTAACCTCTTGGGTATTTTCGGGTCGTCGGAAGGCCGAAAAGAAGCACATGCCAAAGTCCCCCCCCAACGAAAAACTTGCGGACACTCAGGGTCTCTTGGGCCGTCTGGGAGGCCTCTTGGGGGCTTGCCTCTTGGGCCGTCTTGGGCCATCTTCAGGCCATCTTGGGCCGTATTGGGTGCATCGTGGGCTGTCTTGGGACGATTGTTTGCCTACGTTGAAGTCTTTACGCAGCTCTCCAGGTGGACGGCGGGGTGGGAAGGCCCACTGGGAACCTTCACAAAATACCGGAGAAAAATTCAACATCTGGCACGCCGCGCACCCTTGGGGCAAGCCACAGGGGGCGGCGGATCTAGTGGCCGTTGGCCCAACCCGCTACGTGCTTGGATCGTGGACCAGGGGCCTCTTGGATGCCTCTTGGGAGGCTCCTGGGTACCTCCCGAAGGCCTCTTCGGGGCATTTGGGGGGCCTCTGCTGGGGCCTCTCAGGGGTGTCTTGGGAGCCTTCGAGCGGTCTCGGTGGCCATCTTCAGGAGGAAGCGCTTCTGGCCCTCCTTCGAGTTCACCTCTCAGGCGCCTCTTGTTGGGGCTCTTTTGGGCGGGGCCTGGGGGCCCCGTCTGAAACGCTTTTAAGAACAGGAGCATGTGAAACCGCGAAAACGCTCCGGGCTTTTGAGTGATTCGGGCCTCTTGGGCAAGCCCCCATGGCCTCCAAGACGGCCACCAAACCACCCAAGAGCGGCCCAGGATCGGCCCACTGGGGACATCTTAGGACATGATGAATGTTCGGACTCTGAATCACGCTCTCGAAGCCTTTGGAATGGTCCAGGGATGAGCTCCACGAGCGTCAGGAAACGCCCAGCCTTGGAATCCGGACCCACGGGCCTTTCGCTCGAGGCAAGCTGGCGGATAAGCACGCCTTCCCAGTACAACGAGCAGTAACGTGGACGCGGAACATGTCTTACGTCGATTGGGCATGAGTTTCGATCCAATCAGGGTTACCTCAAAATCACGTTCTTGCGATTGCTCTTACCATCGCAATGTCTGTGCCATTGTGGACTGACCAGGCTCGGATCGTAGGCTCGAAGTTCGGATGCTGTAGCTCCAGTTTCGGGGCGGCGACGGCTTTGGCAATTGTGTTCCTCAAGGCCGAGTCGCAGTGAGTTTGTTGTCGATGTGGGCGCCACGACCCGATTGCAGAGCGGCGTTCATACCTAGATTCTGTTTGGTTACACTGGAACCCAGCGGCGACGCCACGCCCAGATGATATCTGAGAGAGAGAGAGAGAGAGAGAGAAAAAAAAAAGAGAGAGAGAGAGAGAGAGAGAGAGAGAGAGATGAGGGAAGGAGGGAGGGAGGGAGGGAGGATGGGAGGGAGGAAGGGAGGGAGAGAGAGAGAGAGAAGAAGAAAGAGAGGAGCAGTAACATGAGTGCTGAAGACTCTTGCGCATAGACGTCTCAACCAAAGAGCAATGCTGAAGCATACAGTGACAGGACCGCAACCCCGAGCAGGGTGACCAAGTTGCTCAGTGGCTTCTCAATCGCTTTGTCGAGGACAGCTTTGGCCATAAAGTGGGGAGGGTCGGGAAGTGCTGAAAGAGCCGCGTTTCGACATCATGCTCGTGTGTCAGTGATGTCCTTTGGCGCGGGACCACATGAGTTGTAGTAGCGGGCGGCCTATGTGCTGTTTTAGAACTCTGACATGTAAACAAGGATCGCGACGACGTGAAGAGACTCGACTTGTATCAATAATATGATTGCTTTCAGAGCTGGGGCGTTTCTATGGTGTCTCGAGGCGCCGATTTCAATGCTTCTGCCGATTGAAGGGTGACGCCTGGCATGGTATTATCCAGCTGCCTGCGACAAGCCCCGCCACCGCGCCTGTGCAACGGCGTAGCAACATATTTTGAACTCTTGATGCTCCGCGTATCCCCACCAGCGAACCTTCGTCGCCTTGCTGACCTCATTTCACAGCCACAGTTGCGATGCTCGGGCCATGAGCGACTCATTGGGCCTGGGTATGGTTCACACCGTGTGCCTGGCGTGCACTTCCTTCCCTCCCCTCCTGCATCCTAATGCTGCAGCGGTTAGCTGCCACACCGGGGTGCCTACCGTGCCTGGCGTGCATTTCCCCTCCTCTCCTCCTGCATCCTTATGCCACAGCGGTTAGCTGTTGCACCCACACCGTGTGCCTGGCGTGTACTTCCTTCCCCCCCTCCTGCATCCTAATGCTGCAGCGGTTAGCTGCCACACCGGGGTGCCTACCGTGCCTGGCGTGCACTTCCCCTACTCTCCTCATGGATCCTTCTGCCGCAGCGGCCAGCTGTTGCACTGGGGTGCTCTCCCTCCTGTTTCACAGGGTTCTTTCCTGGCGGCTGGGATTTGCTGCCCAATACTGCTTCCTGATGACGTTCAGGTGGTTTGGAACTCATGCAAGGGCTCACACAGGGAATGGTGCTGCGTCACACTTGCTGAGGTCAGGTGCTCCCTGGCCTGCTCCTGGCTGGTGTCGGCCCCTACTTATGACCGGAAGGTTCCACAGGGTCTCTCGCGACACTGCTTACCGTATGGTACTTGGACCTCGGGTTCGGCAAGTGTGGCTCTGTACGCTCGTTGGCCGACGTTCTCATGCATGGACTTCGCTTTCGACAAGTGTTACAGGTGCTACTGCCGTTTGCAGTCTTGTCGGTGATGAGGTTGCCCCTCTTCACTCTTGCGCCGACACGATGTTTTGGCATTTGTGTCGCCTACTTCACGGATGTCGTCTGGGTGTGCTTGTCCTGGTCTGGTTCGTCTCTGACGGTGCTGTTTGCCTGACTCACACCGACCTCTGCGTGTTTATGGTCGCGCCGCAGCGCCATTTTGGCTGCGCTTACTTGCTGGTCGCCACCGGGATTTCCAACGCCACCGGGTTTGGGAGTATCGGTTCAGGCTCTCCTTCTGAGTGGCTGCCCGCTCTCTCGATTCGCTTGCCTTTCTTTTCCTGCTGCCTGGTCGCGGCCCGACTAGCGTTCGGACGGTTTTCGACCCGCCTCGCGAGCCTGTTGACCAAAAAGTATCCCCACCAGCCTATCGAGGAACGATGCCCAGGGGGGCTGCCCTTCTCGGGGGAGCTTCGCATAATGAGAAGATCTCGGGGAGCCTCCGTGGGCCATATTTTTTTGATACCTCTCGGAGTCTCTTGAGATGCCTTTCGGGGTCTCTTGGAGGCCTCTTGGGGTCCGCTCGGGGTCCTCTTGGGGGCCTCCTGTGGGCCTCTTGGGGGCGCTCATCGGGTGGGTTCTGTTTTGACCCCATTCTGGGGGGGTATTTTCGCCCCCCACCCTCTCCCCGTGTTGCTTTACATGCAAAGCAGCACAGGGAATTACCCACACTCAGTTCCAGAGAGAAGGGTCGTTTTCTAACGATGTTTGCGATTGATTTGATGAGGGAAAGGGGTCGGCTCTAAACAACACACACCAGACAACTGAAGAGCATTCTAACGCACCCACTCCGAGCAGGCACGGTGGCGGATCCAATTGCGTTGCCACGGACATCCATATTCCCGCGCAGGGGCTTATTTGAAATATTTGTTTGTTTGCGTAGGGACTGTCCCGCCTTCGGAGCCCTGCTCGGGGAGGGGAATCCATGCACTCACATGGTTTTTCCGACGTGGATCGGCCGCTGAAAAGGAGCCAAGCTCCTCGCAAAAAGGCGCGCGTATCATCATTACTCGCGCGCCCACGCCCACCAACGGCGCCATGGGCGCTGCATTCGCCTCCCTTGGAAAGCATGCAAAGCGCTACTTCCAAGAGCCTGTGCAGCGCAGCCACTGGCAAGTATGTCCAGTCAGCATCGAATGTCCGTCAAGGGTTTTCCTCTATGGCCGACCACGTCGGTGCATAAATTTCCGTTTCTTCAGATAGGGCGAATCCATGCACCGATGCGGTCTGAGGGGTCTTGTGGACAGTGCGACGGGGCTGTCCGGGTGTGGCGGGGCTGCCTGGCCCCCCGTGTACTGCGCGCGGTTTACGTAGGCGCGCACCAATCGCGGTGATTGGGCGCCAGGGTTGATGGGGGCTGCTTATGTTATTCCTCATGGGTCCCCTGCGCATTTTGCGTCTGGTTCTGGCGGGATTTACTGGCGCGGCGGAACTCCCTGCGACCATGCCGGCGGATAGAAACTTTCCGCCTACCTGACCTGTCTGTCTTCTCCGCGTTTGCGAGTCCAAGAGCCGCCGTTTAGCATGCGAGGTCATAGGCATTAGTCGTTAACGGCGCGATTGTTTAGACTTGCCTGTTCGAGCCAGCGACGGGGGATGCCCTACAGCCTTCCAGGTCTGGATTCGAAAGAGTAGCCGTTTGCAAGCGGGGTGCCTACCTGTGGACCCGCCAGCAGCGGTGGAGCCAAGGACAGCAGAACGAGCTCGGGTAGGCATCCTGCTGCGGGAGTGGCGGGGGGAGGGGCAGGCCTTCTCAGAAGGCTGCGGGCGGGGCTTCGCAGAAGGCTTGGAACGAGAGAGCGTTTCAGGAGACAGGCAGCCTTCCGAGCCTTCCGAGGGGGGCCCAGCGCCTCTGCCTTCACCCTGGGCGCGCCGCAGAGCTGTGTCTCTTGCAAGCCGGGCCCAGAGCCAGTCGCCCAGAGATCCCCAGGCACCATCGGGCGTGCGCCGCGGCGGGCCGCGGTGGCGCATCGGCCTCTGGTCCTGGAGCCTGATGCAGCGGCCTTTGTCTGGGACTCGTGGCCCTTCCTCCGTCCTGCGGCCTGACTGCAGGGAGGATGAGGAGGATTCTGGAGGAGGACGACCAGAGCAAGCCCGCGAAGCATCAACCCCCACGTTCCCTCTCCATCAGGTCCTCGCAAGACGAGCAACCCATGGGCCCGCCTTCCGGGCGAGCGCCCCTGTTTGCAAAGGAACCCCGCCTGGCATTTTTCGAGCGGGCTAGAACGAGCGCGGCACGGCCGGATCAGAAGTTCAATGGGGTGTCCACCGAGATTTCTTGCTTTGGAATGGAATTGCCCCCCATGCGTGCAATTGCGGGGAGAGCTTACGAGTCTAGTCATCAAAATAAGCGAGTGTGACGCGAGAGGCCCAGTTTGAAAAGGGATCGCCTTCCATCCGGGCAGCTGTTGCATGCGTTCAGGCTTCTGGTCGCTAAATTCGAGGTCGTCCCAGGCAGGCGAGAGCCCCAGTGCAAAGTGACGCTTGTGGGTTTAAATCCAGACAGGCGAGGGTCCAATTTCGAAAGCGAAACGACCAGTGCAACTTGTCAACTGTTGCATCTTAAACAGAAGCCCATTCAAAAAGGAAGTCTGCGGAGAGCAATGTGGAGAAGAAGCCGTCCTCCATCGTTCGATCTGCTGCACAAGCTTTTAAGACGAATGTGCGCTGGGGCGCGAGCTCCGTTTTGGAAGCGACCGCCCTCCATGTTTAAGGCGAATGTGCGCGGCGCCAGGGCGAGAACTCCGTTTTACGAACGGCTCGCACTCGATCCTTGTAGCTCCTCCCGATCCCCCCCTTCTCGAGTCCTCCGCCCCGCCCCGACCCCTCCCCTCCCCATACCAACGAGGAGGACGGCGCGCCTGCAAGTGGTTTTACCTCAAGGCCTTGGAGGTACCGAAGTGTTTCGGCACTTCTCTGCCTCCCGGTTTCTTCGAGTTCCTGGCTCACGCCTGGTCCCTGCTCTAGCTGGTTGCTCCAAAGTTGGGCTAGAACCGAACTCAGGTCCAATTCAAGCCAATCCCCTCTCCTCCTTTTTTATTCAATCAGTCTAATTCAATCCAATGTCCCAGGGAGGGACACTAGATTATTGTCCCTCCCCCATCCGCCTCCCTCCTTCACCCCCTTCGCACAAAACACGGAGGCATGAGCCTTCTTCCTGGACGGCTCAGCTTCGCAGCCAGGGAACCCTCCCCGGGGCTCGACCCGTTGCCCTCCCCAGGCAAACCCTTCCAGCCTGCCCTTGCCCTTCTCCCTCCCTCCCCCCCCCGCCCTCCGCATCCTCCCCTGTCGCCAAAAACTACTGGGGAGGCGTGGGCATTCCTCCTGGACGGGCTGCGGAAGAGGCTGCGCGCGGACCCGCAGGCGGGCGCGGCGAACGGGGGCCAGGCTTTGCCACCTCATCTTGCGTTGCTCTCTCTCCCCCTGGAGTTCTCCGCCCCCCTCCTCATTCTGCTCCTCCTCCCCCTCCTCCTCCTGCGCCTACCGCTCCTCCTGCTCCTCCTCCTGCTCCTCATCATCCGCGCCTCGTCCTCCGACACGGAGGTGAGAGGCCCGCCGCGTCAGGCGTGAATGGGATAATCCACGGCACCGACGCTCGCTCGTCCTGCTGCTCCTCCTGGGCCGCCGTGGGACGTTCCGATGCATCTTCCGGCCCGCGAGAAGGGGTACACGATTCCGATCCCCTCTTGAAGGACCTCCGGGGCCTGCGACCAGTCTGGGCGGAGGCCAGGCGGGGTACCGATTCACGGGGGGCGGGGCGAGGGCTGCAAGAAAAAGGGCCCCACAGGGGCCCCTGGGGCCCGAAGGTGGACGATTCTTGACCGCTGGTCTCCATGTGTCAGTATTCACCCCCTCCCTCACCCGACCGGCGACAAACCTGGGCCAACGCCGACCCCTCCCGCCACCCCTTGCAAAACACGATGCGAAATGCATTTTGCACCAAAATCTAGGTCAGGCGCGGACGCTCTGCGATCGCTTCGCATGTGTGTTTGACAACGACGGCGGGGGGCCAGCATATTGCCTGCCATGTGCAATGCCAACACCCCCCACCATCCCTTACAACAAAGACAATACCTGGTTCACTTTGCACCAGAATCAGAAACATGCGCGGACGCCCGGCGATCACTTTGCCTTGGTTTTTGTTCGGGGGCCGGCATGTTGCCAGGCGTGTGCAACGCCAACACCCCCCAACCATCGCTGGCACAAGAGCAATACAACGTCCGTGTTTCACCAAAAATGTGGATCATGCGCGGACGCCCCGCGATCACTCTGCATCTGTTTTTGACGAGGACGGCGGGGGGGCTGGCTCATTGCCTGCTGTGTACAGGCCTACCGTCCCTTTTAACACAAAGTTTGCTTTGCCAGGGGCGGCGGGGGGGCGGCGGCACATTGCTCGCTGTGCACATGTCCATCATGCATGCCACAAACAGGTGCAAAGTGACTGCGGGTACACACCCCCGCACCAAGGCGCCATGCTCGCGCACCCGCCGTCACTCTTCATGGATTTTCGACGTGGACGGTGGTGGGGTCGACATCTTGCCTAATGTGGCGCACCTGATGCGCGTGGCGCACCTGGCGTGTGCGGCGCACTTCGCAGGCTTCGCGCACCTAGCTGGCGTCTGCATTGGTTCCCGCTGGTTGTCGATGGCGGCCCCTGCCTGCGCTGAGACGCTGGGTGCTGCTTCTGTAGTGGGAGGGCGGAATGGAGTGAGCGAGGCAGCTTGCGGCGTTTTCGCTGGGAACTTACCCCCCCCCACACACACACACCTCTCCTTTCCACCCATCCCTCTGGCTCGATCTCGTCGAGCCCAACGCCTGGCCATACCAGTGTGAGTGGGGGGGTCTTTTCGCGTTTGCTAGATACTGATAGGGGTCCTCTTTTTTGTTTCTCCTCTTTTTCCCCATATCCCAAGATGGGGTTCTTGGTATTCCCCATATCCTAAGTATGGGGTTCTTGTTATTGGCGGACCGCGCCGGAAGAACAGTCAGTCAGTCAGAACACCTCACCTCACCTCCCTCACTCAGACTCACTCAGACTCACTCAGACTCACTCATCACTCTGACTCACTCATCAGTCAGACTCACTCATCATTCAGACTCACTCATCATCACCCAGACTCACTCATCACTCAGAGTCACTCATCACTCAGACTCACGCATCACTCAGACTCACTCAGACTAGTTCTGAGTGATGACTGAGTGGGGTTCTTGTTTCCCATATCCTAAGACTCAGTCATCTCTCAGACTTACTCATCACTCAGACTCACTCATCAACCAGACTCACTCATCACTCAGACTCACTCACCACTCAGACTCACTCATGCTCAGCTTTTCATTCAGAGTTAGTCATCACTTAGACGGCCCCGAGAATAACTCATCACTCAGACTCGGTCCACTCATCAGATGACTCACACACACACTGATGTTGAGGATGTCTCAGGCGATTCTGTGGCTTCAGCACTCCTAAGGGGGGCGGCGGGGGGTGGTTTCACGGGGTCCCGTTCGCGGAATTTTGTGGGGATGTCTCAAGCGGTTTTGGTTTTTTCTCCTTCAACATGTTTCGTTTTCGGAGCAGATTTGGAGGATGTCTCAGGCGATTCGCTGGTTTCAGCACTTAAGGAGGGTGGCGGGGGGTGGTTTCACGGGGTGCCGTTCGCGGAATTTTGTGGGGATGTCTCAGGCGGTTTGGCCATTTTCTCTTCCAACATGTTTCGTTTTCGGAGCAGATTTAGAGGAAGAGGAGGAGGAGGCAGGAGGAAGAGGAGGAGGAGGAGGAAGAGGAGGAGGAGGAGGAGGAAGAGGAGGAGGAGGAGGAAGAGGAGGAGGAGGAGGAGGATGATGATGAGGAGGAGGAGGAAGGGAGGAGGAGGAGGCTGGGAGAGGAGGAGGAGGACGAGGCAGGGGAGGAGTAGGAGTAGGAGTAGGAGGAGGACGAGGAGGAGGACGATGATGAGGAGAAGGAGGCGAGCATGAGCACGAGTAGGAGCAGGAGAAAGGGATGATGATGATGATGATGATGATGATGATGATGATGATGATGATGATGATGATGGTGATGCTGGTGATGATGATGGTGGTGGTGATGATGATGATGATGATGATGATGATGATGATGATGATGATGACCGCGCCGGAGGAACACAGGAACACCCTCACCTCCTCTGACTCACTCATCACTCAGACTCACTCATCACTCGGACTCAGTCATGACTCAGACTCACTCATCACTCAGACTCACTCATCACTCTGACTCACTCACCACTCAGACTCACTCGTACTTGTACTCATACATTCACTACACTCACTCAGGTCCACTCATCGGATGACTCACACACACACTGATGTTGAGGATGTCTCAGGCGATTCGCTCGTCTCAGCACTCTAAGGGGAGCGGCCGGGGGTATCTCACTCGGTCCCGTTCGCGGAATTTTGTGGGGATGTCTCAAGCGGTTTGCTTGTTTTCTGTCCCAACATCCTTCGTTTTCGGAGCAGATTCGGAGGATGTCTCGAGCGATGCGCTCATTTTCACGTTCCTAAGGGGAGCGGCGGGGGGTATTGCACTCGGCCCCTTTCGCGGGATTTTGTGGGGATGTCTCGAGCGGTGTGCCTGTTTTCTGTCCCAACATCCTTCGCTTTCGGAGCAGATTTGGAGGATGTCTCGAGCGAGGCGCTCCTTTTCACGTTCCTAAGGGGAGCGGCGGGGGGGTATTGCTCTCGGCCCCTTTCGCTGGATTTTGTGGGGATGCCTCGAGCGGTGTGCCTGTTTTCTGTCCCAACATCCTTCGCTTTCGGAGCAGATTTGGAGGATGTCTCGAGCGAGGCGCTCATTTTCACCTCCCAGGTGGGCCAGATTTTGAGGATGTCTCGATCGGTTTGCTTGTTTTGGTGGCCAGGCTCGTGGGCGCAGATTCTTCTCAGGATGCCACAGGAGGCTCCAACAGGCTCCAGGAGGCACCAGGAGACCACATGAGGTCCCAGGAGGCATCAGGAGGCCACAGAAAGACTCAAGAGGCCACAGGATGTCCCAAGAGGCTCCAGGAGGCCCCAGGAAGCTCCGGTAGGCCTCAGGAAACCACAGGAGGCAAGGCAACAGGAAGCGCCAGGAGGCCTTCGGAAGGCAACAGGAGGCCCCGAGAGGCCCCAGGAGCAGGAGGCCTCAGAAGGCAACAGGAGTGGCTCCAATCCCATGTGTTTTACGTATGCTCCTATCGATTGGGCCTCACCTGGAGCACGATTCTTTGATGTTATACGTATGTTTCTATAGATTGTCCTTCTCCTGTGTACACAATCCTACATGTTTTACTTATGTTCCTATATATTGGGCCTCTCCTGGGGCACGAGTCCTTGGTGTTTACGCGTGTTCCTATAGATTGCCCTTCTCCTGTGGCTCTAATCCGCATTTTGGCTCAAGCGTTCGCACGGCCGTCGCCCCGCGTCCTGGCTCAAGGGTCCGCCTCTGGCGAAAGCCTATCGGCGCGGCCCTTCGCCCGTGGCGCGGATGGCGGCGCCTAGAGGGGCTTGGTCGGCCCGCGACGCCGCCCTCGTGGTTGAGGCGGCGGTCCGCGGGGCCGTCTCTGCGAGTGCGCCGCGGCGCACGGTCGCGGCGGTGGCGCGGTCGGCTGTGTCGGCCACCCTTTTCGGGGTGGGCCGCGGGGCCGAGGGCGCCGTGCCGCCGCCGCCCGCTGCTGCTGCTGGTGTTGCTCGCCCTGGTCCTCCTGACCGAGCTGGTGCTGCTGGAGCTGACCCTGCGGCGCGAGCCGCGAAGCGCCGCCGCCGCCGCCAGCGCCGTGCTGCGCGGCGAGCGGCCGCTCAGGAGGAGAACAACATTGTCGTGGAGGTGGTGCCCGCTGGGGCGGTCGCTGGAGCTGCCGCTGGTGCAGCTGCTGTTGCGGCTGCAGCGGCGGCCACCGCCGACGTTGACATGGACGACCTCGATGACGAGTGGGCGGACGACGTTCGTCGGGCCGCCTCGGGTGCGGCGGCGGCGGATCCCGCTGGAGTGGGAGGAGCTGCCGCCCCTGCCTGGCCGCGGAGGCGCAGGCGGAGGCCCGAACACGCCCCTGGGCGCGAGGGCCGGTGGGTCGTGGACGCGGAGGGCGCTGGCGCGGCCGGCGCGGCCGCGGGCACGGTGCTGGCACTCGCGAGGGACCCGGGGGCAAAGGGGCTGGCGGACGCGACGGTGGCGGCGGCGGAGCCTGGCGGCGGAGCTGCTGCCTCGGGCGCGGCGGCGGGGGCGGCGGCTGCCCTCGAGGACGCGTTCGCCGCGGCGGACGGCGTCCTGCGGAGGGCGGCCGATTGGCGCCCCGAGGCGAGCGACGACCTTCGGCGCATGCTGGAGGCCGTCCGCTGGCACCCCGCCTAGGCCCTGCGGGCTGGCCCGCCCTTGGCGCGGGCGGCCGCGGCGCGGGCCCTCCTCCCTCGGCTTCGCGTTCGAGGTCGGCGGCGGGCAGGGCTTCCTCTTCCTCGTGGCGGCGGACCCCGAGGTGGAGGTGGTGGATCCGTGCGTTGCGCACGGGGAGCTTTGTGTACAAAAAGTGGCTCTAATCCGCAATGTTTTATGTACGTCTGTTGCTATAGATTGGGCCTCTCCTGGGGCACGACACCTCCCTGGGAGGTCCCAGGAGGCCCCAAGAGGCTCCTGGAGACCCCAGGAAGCTCCAGTAGGTTTCAGGAGGCCCCAGGAGGCCCCAGGCTCATGCACAAAGACGCGCTCGTACTACTGAGGCTCATTCACACTCCAATTCATTCGCAGTTAGATGTATGTCCAGACCGTCACAACTGAAGCCCGTGTATATTCGACAGCTCTTGCGCTTAGACAATCACGGCGGACAGGTCCATGCGAATAGATGCACATATGGGGAGCTCCACGCAGTGAGTAATTATTTGGATTCCTCCTACTCCTCCTCCTTCTTCTCCTTCTCCTCCCCTCCTCCTCATACCCAGACTTACTCATGCACAGACTGACTCACACTCAGACTTACTCATACCCAGACTTACTCACACAAAATTACTTTTACTCAGACCTACTCATACTCAGACCTACTCCTACTCAGATTTATTCATGGTGAGACTCACGCACGCCCCGTTCGCGGCCGTTTTGTGGTGATGCCTCAAGCGGTTTGCTTGTTTTCTGTCCTGGCATCCTTGGCTACCAGAGCAGATTGTGAGGATGTTTCAGGCGGGGCGCTGGTTTCAGCTCCCCCTGAGGGGAGCCGCCAGGGGTTATCTCACGGTCCCGTTCGCGGCCGTTTTGTGGGGATGTCTCAAGCGGTTTGCTTGTTTTCTGTCCCAACATCCTTCGCTTTCGGAGCAGATTCGGAAGATGTCTCGAGCGAGGCGCTCATTTTCACATCCCTAGGGGAGCCGCCAGGGGTTATCTCACGGTCCCGTTCGCGGCCGTTTTGTGGGGATGTCTCAAGCGGTTTGCTTGTTTTCTGTCCCAATTTCCTTCGCTTTCGGGGCAGATTTGAAGGATGTCTCGAGCGAGGCGCTCATTGTCACCCCCCTAAGGGGAGCCGCCAGGGGTTATCTCACGGTCCCGTTCGCGGCCGTTTTGTGGGGATGTCTCAAGCGGTTTGCTTGTTTTCTGTTCCAACATCATTCGCTTTCGGAGCAGATTTGGAGGATGTCTCGAGCGAGGCGCTCACTTTTCGCCCCCAGGTGGGCCAGATTTTGAGGATGTCTCGATCGGTGGCCAGACTCGTGGGCACAGATTCTCTTCAGGATGCCACAGGAGGCTCCAACAGGCTCCAGGAGGCACCAGGAGACCACATGATTTCCCAGGGGGCATCAGGAGGCCACAGAAAGACTCAAGAGGCCACAGGATGTCCCAAGAGGCTCTAGGAGGCCCCAGGAAGCTCCGGTAGGCCTCAGGAAGCCACAGGAGGCCGCAGGAGGCCAGAGGAAGCGCCAGGAGGTTTCGGAAGGCAACAGGAGGCCCCGAGAGGCCCCAGGAGCAGGAGGCCTCAGAAGGCAACAGGAGTGGCTCCAATGCCATGTGTTTTACGTATGCTCCTATAGGTTGGGCCTCACCTGGAGCACGAATCCTTGATGTTTCACGTATGTTTCTATAGATTGTCCTTCTCCTGTGTACTTATGTTCCTATAGGGCCTCTCCTGGGGCGCGAGTCCTTGGTGTTTTACGCGTGTTCCTATAGATTGCCCCCTTCTCTTGTGGCTCCAATCCGCAATGTTTGATGTACGTCTGTTGCTATAGATTGGGCCTCTCCTGGGGCACGAATCCTCCCTAGGAGGTCCCAGGAGGCCCAAGAGGCTCCCAAGAGGTCCCTGGAGGCCCCAGGAAACCCCAGTAGGTTCAGGAGGCCCCAGGAGGCCCCAGGAGGAACCAGGCTCATGCGCAGAGACGCGCTCGTACTACTGAGGCTCATTCACACTCCAATTCATTCTCAGTTAGATTCATGACCAGACCGTCACAATTGAAGCCCGTTTCTATTTGAAAGCTGTTGCGCCTATACATTCACGGCGGACAGGTCCGTGCGAATAGATGCACATATGGGGAGTTCCACGCAGTGAATAATTTGCTTTTTCCCCCTAGGCTGGCGATGAGCCTTCGCAGCGTCCACAGCGTTCCAGCGTGTCCTCCCCTAGCAAGCAGCGCCCGAGGAAGGTAGGGGGGGCGCAGCAGGGCGCCGCGCGTTCAGGAGTGGGGCCGCGCGGACGGGCAAAGGCCCACAGGTGGGGCCCAGTGGAGTGGGACCGCGTGGTTGCGGTGCAGTCAGCTGGGGTGGGCGCAAGCGGGGGGGCAACAGCCGAAGAAGCAGAAGAAGAAGAAGAAGAAGAAGAAAAAGGGAAAGGCGTTTGGGTCTTTTCGTGCACCGTGTCGGCCCGCGGTGGCAGCTCAGGGGCTACTTAAGAGCCCCTCCAGGGCCACTTGCCTGCACTCCTCGATCTCCTACGCTGTGTTCAGGGGGAGAAGAAGCGGCGTAAACATAAACTGTGGGGGGGCCCGCGCGGATTTCTTGGGTCGGCGCTGGGTCCTCCCTCCCTGGGGCGCGGAGCGCGCCATTGGCGGCGCCGGAGCCGCCGCCAGGGGGGTCCAGCGCAGATCAAAGAAATCCGAGCAGAGCTCCAACAGTTTATGTTGATGCCGTTTGTCCTTCCCGTGCGCAAGCGCAGGAGATCGAGGATTGCAGGTAAGTGGCCCTGGAGGGGGGTTCAGTGGCCCCCGAGCTGCCACCGCGGGCCCAACAGGTGCACCCACGCTCACTGCACCCCCGTTATAACGAACGCCCGAGCAGTGCCGCCGAAAGGAGGAGTTGCTCTCGGGTTCGGAAGGGGCTCGCGCTTCCTTGGGTCCTTGCATGGTTGTTCCTCCAGCGTTCCTCGCGCGATTACATTCAGGGGCAACGATAGGGGAGGAATAGGCATAGGGGGGGATGCATTGACACGCAATCGCCCATTGGTCGCCGATAGGGGAACGATAGCCCCAACCTGCCCAGGAAGGTGCGGATTCGCTATCGGGGGCCTATCGCCGATCTATCGGCGATGTATCGCCGATTCCAGGTCGATGCATCCCCCATATGCCTATCCCCCTCTTTCGTGGCCCCTCATAAATGCTTCTGGACCCACGAAGGGGCTTTGTTCCTTCTTCGGCGTACCCGATGGCAGCACGATGCCTGTAGAGTCTCGTGGTGGTGAGTGCGAAGTTCGCCAGAGTTTCGCAGCGGTGGAATGTGCTTTGTCACTTTTCATCGTGCGTCGGCTTCTGGTGGTGGACACGGGCGCTTGCACACGGTGGGCCTGGGGCTTCGGCATCTAAGGCGAAGCGGCCGTAAGTATACGTGGTGCGCGAATAAAGTCGTAGGATGCAAACCAGGGGCAAGATCCATGACCACAGCCTGGATTTGTCCGACTTCCCTCCTCTGCCCTATGCCGTCTCGGATTGTCAGGCCCTTCAGCTAACAAGCAATCAGCGATCCTCAATTTGAAGAGATAGCCTCAGGCTTCATACCAGGCTGTTGTGACCGTAGTCCGTGCATGTGGTACCGCGGCGTATTCGGAGGACCCCAGTTCTTGTTCTATGGGCCCAGCTTCAGGCTTCAGCGACGATCAAGCTCTCCACCTAGCGATCGCAGACTGGCGGAATCTGGTGTCAGCAAGATGTAAATAAACAGAAGCATGTGTGATATTCCCATTGGGAGGAACATTCGGGTACCTCCCGTCTGACTTGTGAAATTGTTTTTTACGCTTCCGTGGTTGATCATGGCGCTCGGCAATCGGCTGGCGGCTATCCCAGCTTCTTGATCACAGCTTCAGGCTTCAATGCGCTGTGTGAGAAGTCGGTGTTGTCTGCTGGGGAGGGAGGGATGGGGGGAGGGAGGGAGGGAGGGAGGGAGGGAGGAGGTCAGAGAGCGGGCGGAGGGAAGACCCCTGCCCTCCCTGTGTCCCCCCCCCCCTCTTTCCCCTCCCTCTGTCTCCCCTCCATCCCTGTCCCGTCCACCCTTCCCCTGTCCCCCCTCCCCTCCTTCCTGTCCCTTCCCCTTGCCCCCCCCCCCCCCCCCAATGGTCACTGCACCCCCTCTCCTTCTGCCCCCCCGAACCTCTGCCCCCCTGCCCTCCGCTTCTAGCCTGCGCCCCCTCCCTTTTCAACCCTCCCCCTCTCTCTGCCCCCTCTTTCCGGCAGCCCCATCTGACTTAGCCTCCGTCCTCAATCCCTCTGCCCCCTCTTGGCCTTTGTCCCCCATGCCCTCCTCCCTGCACCGCCTTCCCCCAATCTCCTTCAAACAAGCAACAGCGCCCCCCCATGTTCCTCTCTCTCTCCGCCATCTGTCCCCTGTGCCCCCATCTCCCCCTCTTCCCCCCTCCCCCCTCCGGGTCTCGGAGAGAGAGCAGCTTCTGCGTGGATGTTTGGGCACGTGTGGACAGCGTGGAAGGAACCGAATGGTTGCGGGGACCTGGAGGCACATTCGCTTGAAGCTGCACGCCGTGACTTGAAGAATTTGCGCAAGGCACTGCGCCCAACCAGCCGAGCTGTACGAGGGAGCAGCTGGCAGCAGAGGAGGCGCATACAAGAGACCAGGGGTGAAGGTGGGCCTGCATAACAAGGATACTGAGGTCGGCTACAGCAGCCACAGAAACATTATTTAAATAAGGAGCAACAGACAACGCGCAAGGGCAAATCATGATTTCAGGAATGTTATCGCACTTGCAGGTCCGTACGCGATTCGAGCTGGTTCGATCCGGTTCGGCGAATCGAATCGCCATGGCTGCCGATTACGATGTCTTGGGAGTCGTCCCCTCCTCTGCCCCGTGCTGCTGTTGCTCTCCCGGGTCGTCCACCTGGGGGCCTCCTGGCGAGAAGGGCTTGCACGAACAGATTTTTAGAGACCACCTGCTTGTGGATTTGGCGACGCCGGGTGGCTTCATAGTTTTCACAGTGCCTGGCGGCGGTAGCGTCGGCGCTTACTTTTCCTGCCCACGCACCTCTGACGTGCATGGCGTCTTCTCTCTCTCTCTCTCTTTGACTTGGATGCCGAAGCATTCGATTCTGGTCCAGCGCGACTCGGGCGACGGTCCGATGCGATTTCCGATTTGGGTCGGCGACAGCAGCGGGAGGCGAGGAAGTGGCGGAGGGAGGGGGAGGAGGAGGAGGAGGAGGAGGAGGAGGAGGAGGAGGAGGAGGAGGAGGAGGAGGAGAAGGAGAAGGAGGAGGAGGATGAGGACGATGACGAGGAAGAGGAGAAAAGGAGGAGAAAGGAGCAGGAGGATGAAGCGGTCTCCGTCCTATGCTGGCTGGTGATGACGGGCAGGGGGGGGGGGTCGGGGACCCAGGGGGAGCCCGGGGTCCAGGGGGCGTCGGGGGCTCGGAGGGGGTTCCCGACTGACCCGGGGGGGAGGTCGGGAACCCAGGGGGGGAGCGGGGATCGGGGGACCTGGGGAGGGAGGGAGGTCGGAGACCCGGGGGGCCCGAGGGGTTCGGGGGCCCGAGGGGGTCCCCGACCCGGGGAGGCTTAGTGGCCTTGGTACGCCCGTGTTGAAACCCAACACGTACCGTGTTCAAAACGCCAGTGTTCGCACGCTGTGTGTTGGCTCGGTACGCGACGTGTTGGCCCACGCTTTGGCGAACGTATCGCGCCAGACTCACGTTTTCAGTCTACGGGTTGAGCACCGTGCCAACACGCTACGTGTTGCGTGTTGCGCACCGGGGCAGCTGAGCGGGGAGGGGGTGTCGAGGACCTGGCCGGGTGTCCCCGACCTGGAGGGGGGGTCGTCGGGGGGGTCGGGAGCCCGGGTGGCGGGTCGTCGGCGATTGGGGAGTTCGGGGGGTTCGGAGACCCAGGGGTAGTCAGGAACCTTGAGGTGGGGTCGGGGACCTGGGGGGGGGTCGGGGATCTGGCCCCCGACTCCAGATCCGTTGTATGTTTGGCGATTTCGCAAGCAAGGCGGAATTTGTATCGCCCTACTGTTCAAGCTTCGCTGGTGCCGATTCCCGCACCCCTTTGCCAGAGAGGTGCTCTTCATACTTCTGCCAAAAGATCAGCCTGATTTTGCCGAGGCGGAGATTTCCGCCCGGCTTATTCGCATCGTTTGCGGTGCATGTCTGGCTCACTTTTCAATCTGAAAATCGACCTCGGTACGGCGGATTCGAGGTCGGGCGAGGGAGGTCGGGGACCTCGGAGGGCCTTGGGGGTCGGGACTTCCGGTGACCTTTGGGGTTTGGGGGGGGGCGGGTCGGTGACCTGGAGGGGATCGGGGATCGCGGGGTGGGTCGGGGATCCGCCTTTTCTCCCATTTTCCTCCTCCAAATTCTGCTGCTCCTCGTATCCGTGTCTTTTTCCTCTTTCCTGGGCGAGGCACGTAGCAGGCAGGATGGGGAGGAGGAAGAAGCATCTGCTACATTGCCGTCGCTGCCACAATGCAGCAGCAGCATCGGCAGCCGCATCCGCAGCTGCCAGCGCGACGGCGCACCAATGTTGCCGTTGATCGTTTTCGCCACGGAGGCCATGACGGCCCGTCGCCGTATTGGTTCGAGCTTCCTACCGCCCCAAGCGCAGGTCTTCCTCCGAAGGACACGTCCTTCGGGTCTCCCTGTTGTCAGCGTCGAGCCGCCGCCTCCGCGGCAGCTGCCGCCATGCCCACCTCGGTCTCCCAGGCGTTGTGCTCCCTGGCCGGAGGTAAGGCCCCGCCCACGGACGTCAGCGTCGCATACGGACTCTTCGGCGCGTGCGCCCTGACGGTCTACCACTTCGTGGCCAACGGGGAGTTCTCCGCTGTGCTGACGATGGCGGTCATGCTCCAGTGCCTGGCGATCTCCTTGCTCTGCCTGCAGACTCTCGCGAACGGCAGCGCCACCGGGCTCTCCGCGCGCGCGCTGGGGATGGAGGCTCGGGCTGGGGATGTGAAGCCTCACCGCTTCCCAGCTCTGCTGCCTGCGGCGGTGGCGTCGCAGCCACGCGCCCCACCTCTCGGGGAGAGCCCCTCTCACCCATCCTCCTCCGCCGCCTCTTTTGGGCTTCTTTTGGAGGGGGTGGAGGAGGAGGGAGAAGGGCAGAGCAGGGCCGAGAGTGGATGAACAGGCATGAGGAGGAGGTCGGGAGGTCCTCCTCGCAGCTTTTTGGCATCAGCTCGGCCAGGTGGGATCCCGCTTGAGACGATTCTGGCGCTCCCTCATCCCTCTGGCCCTTCCGCGCTCTGGCCGTTCTCCTTCCTTTTCCTCCTCCACCTCGCCCCCATGGGACGCTGGTTCCTCCTCCTTCTCGACCGAGGAGAGGAGAGAGGAGAGTTGGTGAGGGAAACACACTTTAGTCTACGCTCCTCCTCCTCCTCCTCCTCTTTCTCCTGCTCCTGATCTTGCTGCCCGCTATGTTCCGCCATATATGTATAATTCCCATTGCTCTGAAAACTATGCGCAACCACTGGAACTGTTCTGGGCGGTACAAGGTACCTACGCGATCGTGTGTGTCATTGTTGTGGCTTGCTGTGGGGCGATCGTTTCTTCCATTACCTTCAATGATTCGCCCTTCCTCGAGAGGTGAGCGTCCTCATTTCCCTTGTTCCTGGTTGTTGGGGCTCTGCGGGTCCTGCCCACACGTACGTGTTAGGGGTCTAGCCTGAATGGCATACTGTTAGTCTGGTAAGCGTTGTTGTCGGTCTTGACATGATGCGCACGACCTTCCAGAAGTAGGATATGTAGCAGTGCGAGTGTAGGAGGCCTTTCCCAGGCGAGGGCGAGGGCGATGGCCCGCCGAGGTGCCCGTATTCGGCAGGTCCTCCGAGGAAGCTGGGGTATCCTCCTCCTCCTCCTCAACCTCCTCCTGCTTGCCCGGACGCGACGCCTCCTCCTCCTGCTCCTCCCCCTCCTCCTCCTCCTCCTCCTCCTCCGTGGCTTGCCGTCCGTAGCCATTTTGGCTCAAGTTGCCATCTCCTCAAGGCAGCTGGCCAGGTCAGAGCAGGGCTGCTCCCGACTCGGCCCGCGTCACAAGGGTCGGGGGTTGACCCTTTTCGCTCATTGAGGCATTTTGCCAACCTGTTTACTCTTCACGTGTACCACACCTGTCTCGCTCACTGGCAGTGCAATGGCCGCCGCAGAAGCATCCAATGCTCAGCTGCTCCAGGTGCTCGAAGGTATGAATGGCGGCATGAACGCCATGAGGGAGGACATCAAGGATGTCAAATAACGGTTCGCCGTAGCAGAAGGGCTCGAGGAGAAGATTTCGGATCTCGAGTTCGCAATGGAGGGCAAGCTCGACGAGGCCAAGGCCGCACGTGAAGCGCTAGTTCTCGACATGGATCTACGAGTTTCTCGACTCGAACATGCTCATCAAGAAGCCGCCACCAACGCCGCCTTCTTCGACACCGATGACGGCAACCCCACCGCCAAACATGCAGGGCTCGAGATTCAGCGCCAAATGAACGAGAAGATGGCCAGGCCCGAGGCGCCCCTTGCTGAACTTCAGCGTGCCCCGTCTGATGCAGGCTCCGCTTCGATTCGTCCGCCGTCCAAGTCCCGCCGCCTTGGAATGGGCTCCAGCGTCGGCTCCAGCTCGTCCGAGATCCCCGTGATCGACCTCGCCACCGACGAGCACAACCATATCGACCCGACCAGACGCTGGATCAGTGGTTTTCCTCGCCCTGTCACCGAGCCGTACAGGCGCACCGTCTTCAACCAGATGAAAGGCAGACTTCCTGCCACCATTAGCGAAGGGATGACAGGACACTTCCACAAAGTCTCGCAGGCGTTCGCCATCACCTTCAACTCCGAGCAAAAGGCCCGCGACTTCCATGATTGGTTCCTTGCGAATCCCGTGACGTGGCAGGACTACCGCAACACCTCCCTTCACCCACCTCGGTGCCGCAGTGATATGCCGTTGCAAGCCCGCCAGAAGAACCGCGTCCTGAGTGCTCTCTGGCCGCTCGTCCGCAAGCACCTCGAGAACGCAGGCAAGTGGAGTCCGACGTTCAAGATCGGCACCAACCCGTTCAAAGGCGTGTTCAGCATCACCACAGAGAACGACCACTGGGAGATCTTCAAGTTATCCGACGCTCCTGGAGGCATGTACAAGCTGAAGCCGATCAGTGACCAGCTCTCCGAATGACACATCTCCGAGACGACCGCCAACTGGATGATCGAGCAGGCCCAGGCCTCCGTCCAGCAGTACTGAAGTGACGCCAGCCTAGTATCGTGTGCAAGTTTTTCGTCTTTTCCCGCTTCTTCGCTGCCTCTGCCGCCCGCTTCTCCCCCCGCTGCCTCCGCGTCCTCTGCCTTCTGCTCGCCTGTTCTGTCGAATGCTGGTTTTGGAGCCCAGCCGCCTTCGCCGGAGGACCCAGCGGGTTCTCGTCTTTCTTTTCCGCAGTCCCTGGCCAATGGTCGAGGTATTCGGATTGCTACCTGGAACTGTCATACCCTGTTCGGCGCGGTCTCTGGGGACCACGACACTCAGGTCAAGACCTTCGATCGACTCACTAACCTAACTAGAGCAAACATTATCATTTGCTTACAAGGAACGCACGGCCATGAAGGGGATCGCGAAGCTTTGCGCACCGAGTTCCCTGGCTTTGAACCCTTCTGTACGTTCTGCCCCGACAGCCACGCTGGCGGGAACGCGATTATGCTCGCTCGCTCTCTTCTCGCTCTGCTTCCTCAAAATCACCATGCTGTGGTTATTCCTGGTCGTCTCCATGCTGTCACTATTCAGTCTGACTCTTTCTCGCTCACCATCCTGAACCTCCACCTCGACCCGAGTAGCCGCCACAGAGAGAAAATCAGAATCCTTCGCATGCGCGCCGACTTTTTGCATGATGTCCAGGGCCTCTCCTCCTTTGTTGGAGACTTCAACTTTTGCGAGCTGGGCGAGGGCACCCAGCGAGTAGACGGCTCTGTGCAGATCAACAGCCCCGACTCCCTCGCTCACAAGTTCTGGTCTTTATTGCCTAATGTTATGGAATGTTACCAAGAGAATCCGACCCACCACACCACTCGGAATGGGAATGTGGTTAGCGTGTCCAGGATCGACCGCATTTACACCAATATGTTCACTGGGGACCTGGATTTGAAACCGACCTCTGGGACCTCCTGGAATATTTGCAAAGCCGACCTCCCGAGCGACCACGCACCGGTGCACTTGCATCTGAACGGAGGTGGAGACAACCGCGCTCGGGCCTTGCGTCGCGGGTCTCTCGTCGCCCTCTGCATCCGACCCTGCTCGAAAAGCTGATCAACGAGCACGGGGTGTGCGAAGATAATCTTCCGCTGATGGTTGAAGACTCACTTGTCTTATGCACGAAGCAGGCCGTCTCGTGCAGCATCGCCTTTCTGAGCTTCCGCCCAGCTCCGCCGAGCAGCATCTGCAGTGGCTGTTCGCGGCGAATCGCGCCATGCGGGGCCACGAGATAAGCGCGCTGAAGAAGGCTGTCAAGGCCATCCCCGCGCTGCTCAACTTTCTCGACCCTGGCAGTGGCAGGCGGCACAACCAGCTAGCCTTTCAAGAGTATATGGCCAAGATTGCCGCCGCTCGGTACCAAAAAGAATATGAGGAAATCATCGGACACGCCGCGGAATCCCCCCCCCAGTTTTATGGGCCCCGAGCTGCGCGTCTTCAGAGATTGGCATCGGCCTGGTCTCCGAAGAATCGGAGAATCTTCCTCGCGGGCATCGCGGATGCCGCCGTCAACGCTTTCCCGACTGCCGAGGCTGGGGTTCATGCGCTTGCCGCTCACTGGAGCCAAGTTCACGCGTCTGTTTAATTTCAGATTGCCGCGAGGGACCAGCTAGAGGAACATATTCAGAAAATTCGAGGGGCCCAGATTTGGAGGCTTTCCGAAGAGCAGTTTTACGTTGTTTTAGATCGGCTTCACGATTCCTCCCCTGGTCCTGACGGGTCATGTTACTCTGCCTGGTCCAAAGGAAATGTATTCGTTAGGTGGGCCGCCTTCGCCATGTACCAGCACTTCATGGATTTCGGCCAGGTTTCGGACGATTTCAACCTCAGTAATTCGGTCTTCCTTCCCAAAGGCTCCCTGGGCCGCGACGGGTTCGAGCTATGGGGGACTCCCGAAATGACCCGTCCTATCTCCCTCTCCAACTCGATCAACAAAATTGTCGCTGTCGCGGTCAATTTCCGCCGGAAAGAGGTTTGCGTGGGCGCCACCATTGGGGTCCAAAGGGGCTTCGTCAAACACCGTAACATGTTAGACAACCTGATTGAGTTTGAGACGCACATGGTCGTAGGAGCAGGCCTACTGCGGCGACGGTCAGCAGGCGCGATCCTGTTGGGCATTAAGGCCGCCTTCCCCAGCTTATGCCACGAATGGATCTTTTTTGCATTCGAGAACATGAACTTCCCTGAGTTTGTGCTGAATGCGATAAGGACGCTCTACGCCAAGGTTACAACCACCATTCTCCTGGGCGGGGTGCCCCATTGCTCTTTTCGTACCCTCCGCGGGATTAAGCAAGGTTGTCCGCTCTCGGGAAGTGTGTTCGCCCTGGGGTTCGATCCGATTGTACGTCTGCTCTGTCTTCGGCTGCCCCGACCTGTCCACTTGCACGGCGCCTTCGCTGATGATGTTGCCTCCGCCGCTTTTGACATCTACACGGCCGTGCCTATTTTCATGAAAACTATGATGCTCGCAGGGCTCGCCGCTGGCCCCATCCCGAACCTCAAAAAACCGGCGATCTTATTTTACCGCGACTTTAACAGGGAGGAGGAGGAGAGGAAGTTCCAGCAGCAGGGGATCAGGGTCCGTAGCTTCGGGATGGCCAAGTGCGCCAAGTATCTTGGAGTTGTGTGTGGGATCAGAGCCCAAGAGGAGTCTTGGGCCGCCCCGCTGGTCAAGTTCCGAGACCGCTGCCGCTTCATTAAGTCCTTGAAGTTGGACCTGTCGATG